TCTCTCTCTCTCTCTCTCTCTCTCTCTCTCTCTCTCTCTCTCTCTCTCTCTCTCTCTCTCTTTGTCTCTCTCTCACTATTTGCCTCTCTGCGCGCGCACGAGCATGCTAACGGAGGTAGCAACGCTCGAACGCGCAGTGCACGAGTGAGGCCCGCTCGAACGCTGTGCCCGCTTATATCCCGCCTCACGGGGAAATGCGGGCTTTTCCCGTTTATTATTATTATTATTATTTTTTATTTTTTATATATATATTTTTTGGACAGTTCCACCTACGGGCTTGTTACCGTTGTTTTTTTTTTTCTTTTCGTTTTGCCTGGGGCATTGGCCCACAGCCCCCCTATGCATTGTCGCCGCTCCCCACACTGCCCACAGCCCCCCCAAGCACCGCCGCCGCTCCCCACACTGCCCAAAGGCCCCCCCCACCCCACACAACACCCAGCGTAAACGCGTCAAACTCGTTCACGTGCGTTAAGTGAACGAGCGTTCACCGCATTCATACCCTGAACGTGAAACACGCGTTCAATGAACGCGTGGTGACACAGGATGGTTATGGGTGGGTGCATACAATTGTGGGCGGGTACGGGTGAGTAAAGGTGGGTAGGGGTGAAAAAAGAATTGGTTGGGTACGGTACAGGTGGTTAACAAAAGGTTTGCATGTAGGTGGTCATTGGTAGTTTTGAAACAGAAAGTCCATGGGCAGTTATGGGCAGTTACAGTCTGAAGGGGTTCAGGTAGGGCAGGTATGCGTACACGTTTTTTATTTTTGAGCGGGTAAGGATGGGTAAAGGTATGGCAGGCCATCTATACAGTCGGTATGGGTGGTAAGTTTTCAAAGAGGGTATGGGTAGGTAGGGTACATGTATTCCAAAAAATCCAAGTTGCCACCTCTGGGTCCGACATTCCAGATCCGCCAGACCGTCCTCCCCGTGGCAGGGGGTACGGCGTTCTGGACCTGCCGGACCCTGTTCCCTGCGAGGGGGTCCGACGTTCCGGATCCGGCGGACCTTCTTCCTCGTGGCAGGGGTACCGCGAACCGGATCCGCCAGGCCCTCCACGGCTCCCGGCATGGGGTCCGGCGTTCCTGATACACCAGACAATTGCACTTCGTTGCATCGCATGCTTTCCTCTTGGCTGGGAACGGGAAGGGGTGAGGCATTCCTATAACGTTGAACCCTCTGCCTGGTATGTTGAGGGGACGATTCCGGTGCGTTCGTGCTGCAAATTTGTTCCTCTACACGACGAGACCTTTCTCACGTTTCTTTTTGTTTCGGGTTCTTGTATGATGTCCTCTCACAGGTCTTTTCCATCTATGTTCAAGACTCAATGGAAAACGAAATGGACAGTTGTTACTACGGTTCTCTACCATTTGTGCACGCTCTTCGCACGCCCATGCCTGATGCTCCGAGGAACTCATGTGAGAGCCGGTCTCCGGATATTGTCATCATACCATCGAAATATGGGGATCCTGCGCATCGTGGTGATGGCATGGCCAGACCGCGCACACGTCATCGGCCGATGCCATCTTCCAATATCAACGTCGTGCGGCGTCGCCTTGATGACATCATTAACGACGTCGTCTGCTTGCCTTCTACTGCCAACACAGGCCCAACGCGCTTGGCTTCTAATCCTTCTATTCGGGGGATTTCCCCACCGGCAACTGGCACTGACGACCGGTATGTTCTCGTGGACATGCTATCGTCGCCATCAAGTGAAGGCAATAAAAGGGGGCAAGTGAGGGAGTCGCCATTACGTGAAGGCAATGAAGGGGGGGGGGTTCGACTTGCCAGTCGGAGAAGAAACCACAATATCTACCTTGTCTGTGTTGTGTGGTGCAGAAGAAAAAAAAAAATACACGTACAGACTCAGGAAAAGAAGTGCTTCGACATCCACCTCCACTTTCGAGCGTAGATGTAGTGTAGACGAGTGTGAGGCCGTCCTCCACAAAACATGTTGCAAGACATATCAATGTTTTTCTAAACTGGGAGTAGAGGACGTGATGAAGTGTAAACGTGACTACCGCGTTCTCAAATGGAAGGAGAGGCGGAAGTGGTGGATAGCGAAACTCCATAATTTCATTTCGTTAGTTGAGTGTAAACCGACAGTCAAACCGATAGTGCAGTTGCACCCTGTGTGCGTCACTGCTTGGTGTCTCATACTAAGCGTTGGCCGAAACACGTTCAAAAGATATAGCGATGACCTCGGCGATGGAACAATCGATGCGCTTAATGGCCATGACAGGCGTCTGTGGACAACGACGACCTACGCATTTACATGGTCGACGTTCGATGACATAATCTTGGACGAGTCTGATCCCCTGCCAGATCAGACTGAGACAGGCCCGAGCTTCGAGATAAGAAATCGCATTCGGCTTCCGTCGGTGTACGCCGCAAAGAAAGACGTCTTCCACACTATTTGTAGACGGCTCTCCAAGCTTGGTGTCTGCTGCTCGTCGTACCAGGTCTTCTGCAAGATGTGGAGGGACTTGTTCTGACACTTTTGTCTGGTAAGGGTGACCGACCACGCGGGATGCAACGAGTGCCTTAAGAATAGCATCCTCATAGAGGGTGCTCTGCCCGAGCCGAGACGGACGCTTGTCACAAAATAGAAAAGATATATTGCATTACAGTCTGCACACCGAAAACTGTGCATTGTTAGGTCTGCCGAGTCGGAACACAAAAACAGAACGGTCTGTGTATCATCATCGATTGTATGGATCAAGCAAAAACAACGATTCCCCGTGCATCAAGGAGACACTTGTCAAAAGAAACGTTGAATAACATGATGATAAAAACAAATCTCACTGGGATAATCGCACACGGTAGGACACCATCGCTCTTTGTCCACACATGGTTCCCGTACTTCTCGCACGACTCAAACTCAGTTGTCACCTCCATAGCCAAAGTTTTCAAAGATGTCTAGGCACGCGAAGGGGCGCTCCCACCGAAGCTGCGGGTACAGACAGACAATTGTGGGGGACAAAACAAAAACAAGTATGTGTTCGCCTTCATGGCCATGCTTGTCAAGTTTCGTATATTCGAGGATGTCGACATAGGGTTCATGATAGTGGGTCACACACACACCGACATAAACGTGAAGTTCAACTTGTTTGCAAAAAAACTGAGCGGTTGCGATGCCTATACCATGAATGAGCTCTTCGATGTCCTCAAAGCATCACGCGAAGAGGAAGTCGATTGCACATTGCTCGATGAACTTGCTGACCGAAAAACCGTCATAGACCCGTATATCGATCACAACATCAAGGGTCATGCCACGCCGCACCTGTTTCGATTTTACATGGATGGGGATAAACCCGCCATGCTGTATAAAGAGTTCTGCACGAAGAAAAAGTGGGAGCCCGAAACTGGCCTTGTGTATTGGTTTAAAAGCGGTGCACACAACGCGTGGGCAGAGCCTGAATGGGGTTTCCAGCCTTGTCGTGAGTCACCAAACCCGTAGGCAGGCGATTTCGTGAACGGAATGGCGGGAGTGCGTGTTCTTCACAAATCGTGGAAAAACTCGCAAATCCAATGAGAGACGCAAGACGAACCCACAAGAGCGATGAAATGTAGACGCTTGAGCTACTGGACCGACCATCTCAACTTCTCAAGAAGTTCGAAAACATATCGAAAGAGGAGAGCGGTACGGTGCCCCTTCAAGGTGCCTTCTGACCAACACGAAT